AAAAAAAAAATGTTAAAACTCGGGGGAAAAAAAAAGCAAGCAAGCAACAAGCCAGGCTGGCGGACCCCCTGCCCAGCCTCTTCCAGCCTCTGTTTCCCTCTCTGGGGTCCCAGCCCCAGGCCCCTCTCCCTGGCTGTGGGTGTCCTCTTAGAACCACCCCCCCATCACACCGCTTGTCCTCACAGAAAGCCCATGTCTACGGAACCCCTGTCAAAATGATGGACGGTGCCAGGAGCAGGGAACCCACTTTACCTGTGAGTGTGAACTCGGTTACGGGGGGCACCTCTGCACAGAACCCCAGGATGTGCCACCCCCTGGAAAACCAGGTGAGAACTTCATCCCAGACCCTGTATCCTCACAGCCCCTTCCCCACCACCAATTGCTACAGCATTATTCCATGTACATAATGTGAACATATAACGCATACCTATTACAGAGCTATGACGGGTAGTAGATTCTTAATGTAACACACATTATAGAAAACATAATAAGATAATATGCTCCCTAGAGATGAGCAGAGCAAGGAGTTTCAAAGAATCCGAGTCCCTGTGCCCATCCCCTACCGACATACAGTAGCCCCCCACTAATCTCTGGGGTGTACTTTCCAAGACCCCCATCCAAACCCAGGTGGATGCCCAAAACCACAGACAGCCCCGGACCCCATCTGGTTTTTCCTGTACGTGCAGACGTATGATGAAGTTTTGTTTATCAGTTAGGCGCAATAAGAGATTAACAACAACCGAATAGAACCAGAGCAATTACTATAATAAAAGTCATGTGAATGTGGTCTGTCTCTCAAACCGATTGTACTGTCCTCCCCTTCTTGTGATGATGGGAGAGAAGATGACGAGGGAGGTGCATGATGTAGGCGTTGTGATGTAGTGTCAGGCTGTTGACCTTCTGATGCTACTGGACCATCTGCTTCTGGACTGCGGGTGACTGTGGGTGACCAAGTGTGGAAAGCGAAACCCCAGATTACGAGGGGGGACCCGCTGTCCTCTGGGATCTTCTCTCGGAACCCCGGCCCTTTCTCTGGTCTGCTTGCCTCACTCCTGCTCTTCCTGTCCTGTCTCGGATCTGTCTGAGCCTCTCCAGTACCTTTGACCCTTTCTCCCCATCCAAAACTCGAATTCCCTTGAGCCTCTGAGCCTGTGGTTCTCCGACTTTATCCCACCTCTCACCCAGGGTGGGGTGGGTGGGGGTGGCTTTTTCTACGTGTTCATTTCAGGACTCCCCCCTACTCCCGGCAGCCCAGAGATTTGGATTCAGTAGGTCTGGAGGGGGCCCAGAAATCTGCATTTTTAATAAGCTCCCGGGTGACTAGTAGAAGTGATTCCGGGGGCGCCTGGGTGACTCAGTCGGTTGAGCGTCCAACTTTGGCTCAGGTCATGATCTCACAGTTCATGGATTTGAGCCCCGCATCGGCCTCTGTGCTGACAGCTCGGAGCTGGAGCCTGCTTCGGATTCTGTGTCTCTCTGCCTCTCTCTGCCCCCCTCTGCTCCTCTCCCCCACTTGCACTCTATCTCTCTCTCTGTCTCAAAAATAAATAAATATTAACAAAACATTTTAGAAGTGATTCCAGGGCTGCTCGTTGAGAAGCACTGGCCACAATGATACCCTGGACTCTAGGGGACCAGCTGGACAAACACCCCCCTTAACAAGGCTGATGGGAGTTGAGTGTCCAGAAACACAAACGGACCCTGGGTGTGTGGTGCCGAGGCCTTGGAGTAAAAGCCTTCTGGAGGGAGAACTAGTCACACCCAGGGAGTCAGGGGTCACAGTCCTTTCCGGTGGCAACTTAGGATGGAAGGGGAGTGTCTCCTCCCCCACGCCTTCCTATCCCATGTGCCTCCGTTGTGTCCCCCGCACCCCAGAAGCATCCAGCTTTGTGGCCATCCTGTTGGGGATGCTCGTGCCTGTGGTGGTCATAGTGCCGGCAGTGACCTGGGAATGTGTTTCCAGGAAGAGGAGGAGGAGGAGGTGAGTTCTGGGAAAGGGGATGAGCAGGGGTGAGTGGGGACGAGTCCACAGGGGAGTGGGCACTGACCCTCCTCTCTTCCCCACCACTCCCAGGGAGAAAACGCAGAGCCAGAACAGAGAACAGGCTGGCCGATGCTGGTGAGAACCATCCCAGCCCCACAAAACCTTGGCGACTGGGAGCTGAGTCTGCCTCTAACGCGGGGTTTTCTTGCTTTCTCCTCAGATTTCGTTCCAGAGCATGCCCTTAGAGTCCCTCAGTTTTGAGTTGCCCTCAAAAAAGGAGAGAGAAAATTAAAATTTATTTTTGAAATGTGAATTTCCACATGACTGTGGTGGAGGAAGGGATCTGTGAAGTGGGTCTTGAGGGGGGTGAAATAGGAGGGAGGGACACAAGTGTGCAGGGCTGGGGGGTGGCCAGCGCTGGGTGCTCTGCAAAATGTCCAGAGGGGAGGCGGACTGAGGTCTGACTGTCCCTTGGACAGAGCCGCTTGGTGGTGGGGTGTCCAGCCCTCTGGCTTCTGGGAAATGGGAAAAAAGCCTGCACTTTCCCAGTCTTCCCAGGAACCCAGGTGATCCCGAGGAGGCTGACATTTCTCATGAGATTAAACACGGGGTGGAGGCTAAGGATGGGGAATGTGGCTTTTTTGCCTGTGATCCTCCGGGGAGGCCCCTCGCTTCTGCGCACATCCATTTCCCAAGAGGGTCTAGGGGTTACTATGGCAACTGCTGGTGAGGTCTAGGGGCTGAGGAGTTCGGAGCCCCATCCCAGCAGCTGAGGCCAGCTCTCCTTAGCCTGAAGCCAAAGGGCTCACATTCTGACCCCTCCCCCAGGGTCTCAGGCCTCCCGACGAGGACGGGCAGGTCACTGCTTGGGGATGGGGCCTGGAACATCCTGCTTGGGCGCCAAGAGGGAAAGGAAGGCTGCCAATTGGGGTGGGGAGGCCAGGACGTAAGACCCCAAGGGACAGGGGATGCCAGAGCAGGCAGGACACTGGGTTCTACAAAGGAACCCTTCCTCTGTGCTTATTTTCTGAGGACCCTTGCAGCCACCCTCGTGTAAGGAATGGAGATCCCGCCTGGTTGGGGAAGGGCCCGGGGAGGGAGGGATGGCTCCTGACCCGACTGGCTGGGGGGAGCAGCTCTCACTCGAGCTGGGCATGGCAGGGGTGCTCAGGGGGTTCTGCGAGTGAGCTGGCTGCACTTTGGCTCGGGCATCACGGGGTTCCCTGCTGCACACCCTGTCCCCACCCGAACTCCCTTTACCGCATCTTTGACCTTTTGCCTGTTTTTCGTCTGTGCCCTGTCCCCTTGACCTCTGCCCCTCCCCTCAACAACTAAGGTCACCTCATCTAGCCCGGATGTCTGGTTGGGAGGGAAAAGGGGTGGCCTGGGCCAGCATCCTCCCAGATAGACCACGTCCTTCTGGACCCACGCGCCCTCCATCCTCAGCAGGATGGAGTCCCTCCCATACCTCTTGAGTGTACAAAACAGGAGTGATGGGTCGTCGAGGGAGTGGACAGAGGATTCCAGAGCATTAGGACGCCAGAAGAGGCTGGGACAGGTAGGAAATCACAGACGGGATCGCCACCTGAGGCCACCTGGGCAGGGAAGGACAGAAACTGTGATTTGGGGTCCCGCACAGACCCCAACACAACAGGGGGCACCGGAGATGCAGAAGTAGCAAGGCTGGCCCCTGCAGGTGTCCCTGAGGGTGGGCAGATTGGGAGCAAAGGAACAAAGGAGGACAACAAGGGCTCGCAGGGGTTTGACCCCATCCCCATCTTCCTGTTTGGAAGTTGGGGGAAGACATTCAGGTGGTTTCCCCTCCCCTTCGGAAGAGCCTGGGAGAACCTGCCCGGGCAGCATCTTGAAAGGGGGAATTGTCTTCCCAAGGACTCAGCCCAGGATGTGTGTGTGTGTGTGTGTGTGTGTGTGTGTGTGCGCGT